GGGGGGCCGAAGAGTAGGTTGTGTCAATGTGGGGGACATGTGTGTGTGTGTGTATGTGTGTGCGTGCGTGCGTGCTTAAGTTTGGGGCCAGCGGAGTGCAGGGTCGCTGGTCCCGCCCCCCGCACCAGCCGCATGCGCGGCCCTCCCTGTCGCGAGCGACCGGCTGCTGCCACTGGCGACCCGACTGCGCTGACTGCTCGTCCAACCAACCCGCTGGCCGCCTGCCAACGGCCGCGCTCCTGCCGCCCCTCCCTTCCCGCCCCTGCCCACTCCCCGCCCCACACCCTCCCCAGGACATTGCCATCGTGCCCTTCCTGGTGCTGCTGCCCCTCATTGAGAGCAGCGGCGGCATGGAGAACGCCACGTCAGACACGCTCCTGGGAATGCTGGGCCCCACGGCCTTCAACAGCGCCGCGGGGCTGGCAATGCTGCTGTTCGGCGGCCGCATCGTGCTGCGCAAGCTGTACGAGGTGCGCGGGGGCGCGGTTGAGCTGCATGCGTGCCGCCCCTGCCACCAATGCAGGGTGTAGCAGCCACCCTGCATTGATGGGTACCGCACGCTGTATGGGTGCATGGAAGCAGATGGAAGGAGGAGGGTTTAAAGGTATGGGCAGTTGGGGAAGGTGACACCGAGGGCGCCTGTGGCGGCACAAGCGGCAGACCTGTTTGGCGGGCAGGCCATGTACAGCCGCACGCGGGTCCCTGGCTCGTCCACCGAAGCCCACCTCTGGCCCGTGGCCCCCAGCGACCGCGGCAGTTCCCGCGCCCACCTGGTTGCTCCACTCCATCACACCTCTCCTTGACCTATCCCCCCTTTCATACACACACGCGCGCGCACACACACACACACACACACACACACACACTGTTCCCAGATGGTTGCTCAGTCGCGCAGCAGCGAGACGTTTGTGGCGCTTTGCCTGCTGACCGTGGTGGGGGCGTCCCTCATAACGGAGCAGCTGGGCATGAGCGACACCCTGGGCGCGTTTATCGCGGGAGTGCTGCTGAGTGAGACCAGCTTCAGGACGCAGGTGCGGGGGCGCGGGGGCGTGGCAAGAGGCGGGGGCCCAGGTTATGTGCTTGATCTGATGGCAACCTGGCAGTGTCTACAACATTTTCAGCAGACCCCGAGCGCACCCACCCCTTGGTGCAATCCTGGTGTGTTTTTGCTTGTCTGCTGCACAGAAGGGTGCGCTATGGGCTGCAGCA